GTGACCTGCCCACATGCGACCCAGAAAATTTAAATTCACCTTCTCCTGCCCGCGGATAACACGAATGGCCCCGTGAAAATTTTTGCGGACAAATTATTATCTCGGAAACCACGGAATTTGGGAGGCTGAAATTTTAAGGTAATGCCTTCTGTCCACATACAATCCTGCAATTTTAAATTCAGCCTTCTCGCATGCCCGAGTGTCACTTACGGCCCCGTGAAAGTTTCAGCGGGAAAAATTATCTGAGGACTGCGGAAGTTGGGAATCTGAAATTTTAGGGTGATCTCCTGTACCAACGTACAACCTCGCAAATGGTATTCACCCTTCACGCACTCCTGGGTACCACGTACGGCCTCGTGAAAGTTTTGATAGAGAAATTATCTCGTGTGCGTGAAATTTTTAGTTGGAAAATCCGCAACTTAAGAACCAGACAGCGTTTTAACTATTTTTGCACAGACCATAATTTAAAGCAGTGAAAATCATTAGCAGGCAATCGTTCGAGGGACGGAATTGCACAAAACGCGTGATCGCACCGGCTACCCAGGTGTGCGCCGCTGTTTATTTAATGCCCATACTGTCATATTGAAAGCCTTTTACAGATTGCAACAAATTACACTGGAATACAACGTGTGGAGAAACTTTTAGAAACTGTTCGAGCGTTACCCGCCGAGAACCTTGCGACATTGGCTTTTCTTATGCGTCAGCTGAAATACGTAAATTTTACAGTTACTAGTACCGATTTTATAATTTTATATTACAGATTGTACTGTAGCCCTGTCTATGGCTTTTTTTGCAACAGAAGAGTTAGCTTAAACATACTCTTAAGTTTGTTCATTCCTTCGAGCTTACTTCTGTAACAAGGGGTGTTTTGCATGCTCATACAGTTACAGTTTTGTTACGCTGGCCTTTATTCCTGTGTGCCATAAATTACAGTTCCAGTTTTAACATGAAAATGATATTTGCAACGTACTGTAATTCATCTTGTTATCGAATTCTAGTTCGGAGATCGTCACGAAGCTCATCGCATGACTGTTGAGAACATTGCTCGAGTTTTCGCACCTTCACTGTTCCGTGATAATCCACCGCCAGCGCCAAGTAAACGAAAAAGAGGGTCCCAGGTTCGTTGTGGATTCTTATTCTACATTTTTACAGAAAAGAAAAAAAACTTCCCAACGGACATGCCTTTTTGTTCGATCATCGCGTTTTTGTTACTTTGGTAAGATGTTTTTTTCATTTTGCAGCCGATATAGCTAAAAGATTGTCCGTTTTGAGTTTGTTGCATCAGTGTTTGCCATTTTAGGACGATCTGATCATTAGTGTGCGAAATGAAAATGAGCTTCGAATTGCAATCATAATTGATTTAATTGATAATGCGCATAAGATTGGCGTACCACGTGACTATTATCTTGCCTCACGTCGTCCTTCTGACGCTACGCAGAAAGTTTTTGGGGGTAAATTACCAGAGATTGCTGGTATGAGAAGTGCATCCGCGAAGCCAATTTCCAGGTCTGGTTGCTTCATTTCCTACAACATTTTCATCTAAAAATACCGAAAGGTTCAGTGTGTTGCTTTGTAAATTTCTCATCAGTTTTTTTCTTGGTTTATTGAATGGGACATTTTGATTTTTCCTCTCGTTTTATTGTTAAAAGCATTGTGGAAATTTGTATAATTTCTGAAACCTTTATGGTTCCTGAAGGAAAGGCTAGGATTTTTGCGACTTTAGGCTGTTTGTAATTTCTAAAGTGGTGGTTTTTTGGAAGCTTTTTATGGTCTGTTTATAGCATGTGCTGATTTGTGCGGAAATTTTCAGAAATACATCGTCGGTATCGGCAGCAAAGCATAAAGTAGAGGCCAAAAAAGATCGGAAAATGGCGAAGCAGTCATCGTTGAAACTCACTGAACAGTATAAAGTTGGTATTTTTCATTTACCATGCTAACATTTTTAAAAGCGCACACCAGAATAGCCGGTGCGATCATGCGTTTTGTGCAGTTCCGCCTGTTAATGATTTTCACTGCTATGCACTTAGGCCTATGCAAAAATAGTTGAAATGTTAAAAAATAATTCCACGCACCGGTACGTGAAAGCTGAAACTGAAACCTCGAGGAGTGAATATCCTTCCAAAATTTCAATCTCATAATTTTCTGGCTTTTGAATGGTCTTTGAGTCAAAACGTTCGCGTGTTCGTACGTGAAACTTGGGCATAATTAGGAACTAAATTGGAGTTTGTAAAGCCCCTTCTTAGGTAGAGAACATTATCCAGAAACTTTCAACCTCCTAACTCTTTTGGCTCCCGAAATAATGATTTTTCTCGCTAAAACTTACACGGGACCGAAACTGATTTCCGAGAGCGAAGGAACACTAAATTTAAACTTGCAAGGACGTACATGGTCAGCAGGGTCGTTCCCCTAAAATTTCAACTCCCTAGATTCTGCGGTTATCGAGACAGTAATTTACTCGCCAAAATTTTTTCGGAGTCGTAGGTGATACGCGACAGTGCGGAATTTGAACTTGCAAAGTCATACTTGGGCAGGGGGACCGTTATCCAAAAACTTCAGTTTTCTAGTTTTCGTGGTTCCCGAGATAATAACTTCCCCACCAGAAATTTTATGACCCGCACGTAGTATCTGTAGGCACGAGAAGGCTGAATTTTAGTAGGAGGAATCGCACGTAGGCGGTGAACAGAGCTTCACAATTTCGGCTTCTTAGCTCTCGTGGTTCCCGAAATATTTTCCCCACCAAAACTTTACTGAGCTATATACGTTGCTCGCGGTCAGAGGAAGGCTAAATTTAAATTTTTTGGGTCGTACGCAGGCAGGGGACATGCCTACGAAATTTCAGCCTTCTAGCTTTCGTGGTTCCCGTGATAATTTTGCTCTCCAAAACTTTTGTGGAGCTGTACATTTTACTCGCGGGCAAGAGAAGGTTGTATTTAAATTTGCGGGCTCGCACAGGGGCGGGAACATACCTCTCAATTTTCAGCTTCCTAGATTTTGTGATTCCGATTTCAAAGTT